CCCCCCCCCCCCAACCAAGCGTCGGTGTGCTCTGCATGTCTGTTCACTCCCCAGCCTGTAATGTCGCTCTTTCATATCTCAAATTGATGAAATAGCTTGTCTTAGGATGTAAATCACATTGAGGTTGATGTTGTTGTCTTTTCTCGAATATGAGAGGAACGTTCAGAACCTGAAAGATTGCCGTAAACCTCAGGAGAGCCAGGAAGCTCCTGTACAGCGGTTGTCTCCACGCAGCCCTCTTGCTGGCTCTCGCTCTCTTTGTCTCCCTGTCACAGCGGGACCTGACTTGTGCTTTTGGAATTTCCCGGTGGCTCCTTGCTGCACCTGCAGGTGCCACCCCTCCGTACGGATGCCTCACACAGAGTCGCCTTGGCGACGGGGATCTGGCAGCGGCCTGACACGCCTCAAACGCATGCATTGCTGCATGCTGGCGTCCGCATTGTCTGCTCCGCCGTGGCCCGCATGTCTGCTTTATAGATGCGAGTGGATCGCTAGCTCGAGTGCCCGTGGAGGAACATGGGCTTCGCCAGATTACACAGGAATGGGTTCGGGATGCATTAGCAGGGGGCTTAGCATCGGGCCGCTACCTGAATGCACCGTAATTGCATAGCAGGGCGGCGCGGTACAATTGGCCCTTAATTGGCCCTGTGATGACCATGCAGATATTAATATACATGAGGGCCACTCTCCACCGTGCAGGAGGGACGTTTTACTGGCCCCTTATTGAATAGGGTGACCTTTTTGTGTGCTTACCATGTGTGTGCGCTGTGCGCATGTGTGCTGTACGTGTGTGTGTGTGTGTGTGTGTGTGTGTGTGTGTGTGTGTGTGTGCTTGCATGTGTTTACATGGGGGCTGCACGCGTGTGACTGCGTGTATGCACATGTGCTGTGTGTGCACAGAGGACGTGACAAGCCGTCTGGTCACCATCCGCGTTTGAATTATGGGCAAATTATGGAACTCCATCTGCAGCCAATCTGGGGGTGGCAGTGTGTGTGTGTGTGTGTGTGGGGGGGGTTATCTGCACACTCCACAGCCGGACGGATTTATCCAGGGGGCTGAACAAAAGGGAAATCTCTCCCGAGGATGTAACACCCAGCTCTGGGTAAAGATTGGAGCAGAACTCTTATCATGCATTAACGTGCACACAGACGCACTTTCACACACACACACACACACACACACACACAGGCTGGTCGTTAGCACCTGGAGCACAGTGGCCGTACAGCTATTACATAATCACACCCCATTCATCACCCCCCTGCCCCCACAGCCATCTGCCACAGCACCTCTAACAGCCCCAACACTCTTAACGTGTTCATATTAAAACAAATATGGCCACAAGGTGACAGGCCATTAAAAAATCAGCAACCTATGCAGCTTTTAAACATCCTTTGGGAGGTCATATTCTGCCCAGGACCTTCTACTGAACATTATGGACTGAGCGAACTCCACATCAGTGTGTCACCAGGTGTCGCTCTCATCTACTTTTCATTCTATGTGGAGTTTTCCTCTTTTCCTTTGAAGCTCAGTATCTATTCCTTTACTGTATCTTCCGTTCTGCAGTTTGGAAATTTCTGTGCATCAGTGATCCAGCGTAACTTTTGCGTTTCTTTAAGCTGAACTTGCTGTCCATTTTTGAAGCCACATGTTTCACTGGAATGTTTTCCTCGAGGGCACAGTTAAATGACACACTGGGTAATGATACTGTACATTAGGGTATGACGTTATTGGGAATGACATGTTGGAAATGGCACACTTGGGAATGACATGCTTGGGAGTGACACACTGGGAATGACATTCTGGGAATTATATGCTGGGAATAACAGTGGGAATGACATACTTGAGAACAACATGCTGGGAATGACACAGTGGGGAATGACACTGGGAATGGCATGCAGAAGAATGACACACTGGGAATCTCACACAAGGAGTGGTATCCTGAGGATAACATGCTGGGAATGACATAGTTGGGACTGACACACTGCGAACGACACTCTGGGAATGGCACAACTGGGAATAACACACTGGAAACAACACTCTGGGAATAGCATACTTGGAAATGACACAATGGGAATGGCCCACTTCAGAATGACACTCTGGGAAAAGGACACTTGGGAATGACATGCTTGAGAGTCATACACTGGGAATGATATTCTGGGAATTATACTGGGAGTAACAGTGGAAATTACATACTTATTAACAACATGCTGGGAATGACACAACTGGGAATGAAACACTGGGAACAGCACACTTGGGAATAACACACTGGGAACGACACTGAGGGAATAGCAGACTTGCTGGGAATGACACACTAGGAGTGGTACCCTGACAATAGCATGCTGGGAATGACACACTGGGAACAATACACTGTGAATGACACTTTGGGAATAGCAGACTTGGGAATGACACACTGGGAATGGCCCGCTTCAGAATGGCACACTGGGAATGACACTCAGGGAAAAGGACACTTGGGAATGACATGCTTGAGAGTGATACACTGGGAATAGCACACTTGGGAATGACATGCTTGAGAGTGATATTCTGGGAATTATGCTGGGAATAGCAGACTTGGTAACGACATGCTGGGAATGACACACTAGGAGTGGTACCCTGACAATAGCATGCTGGGAATGACACCCTGGGAATAGCAGACTTGGGAATGACATGCTGGGAATGGCACACTGAGAATGACACTCTGGGAACAGCACTCTGGGAATGGCGCACTTGTGAACGACACACTGAGAATGACATTCTTCTTCCCCGCCCATCTCGTAGGGGTGGTCCCGGAGCACCAGTTCGGCACCCAGTTCGTGTGCAGCGTGGTGGCGTCCCATGTTAGCCACACCCCCTCCACCAGCTTTAGCTTCATGTGGATTGCCCCCCCACCGGGTACTGGCTGCGTCAACTTTCTGTGAGTGCCACCGTCTGCCCGCCTGCTTACATGTATATGAGCGCACATGTCCGTTATTGCTTGTGCACGTCTATGAGTGCATGTGTCTGTGAGTGTGCATGTCCATGAGTGTCTGTGAATATGTTGGTGCATGTCTGTGAGTGCACGTGTCCTTGAGCACACATGTCCATGAGTGTGTGTGTGTGCGTGTGTCTATGAGTGCATGTGTCTGTGAGTGTGCGTGTCTGTGGGTGTGTGTGACTATGAGCATGCATGAGTGCGTGTGTCTGTGAGTGCTTGTTTGTGTGTGCGCACGTGTCTGTGAACGCATGTGTCTGTGAGTGTGCAAGATCCTTACCCCTTGTCTTGAATTTGCAGCGCTGACCATGGCTGTTGAAGCTCTTTCTCCAGCTCTCCCTCTCCTGTTCTTTTTCCATCCCTCTCTCTCTTTTTCTCTCCATCTTTTTTCTCTCTTTCCATCTATTCCTCCTCAACTCTGATTTACAGCCACATGGCAACAAATCTGTCAAAATGTATTGGGGGGAGGGGGGGAGTTTTTCAATAACCCAGGCAGCTGAAAGTCAAAGTCACTCGGACTGGCCAACCGGTGCGAATACTCTGGCCTGGGCCTGCCCAACTTCTGATGGGCAGCACATGGTGGGCAGAGCATCACTCTAACTGGGTGTGACTGGAGATAAACAGACCACCAGAGAACAGAGGAAGGGCATAACCTTCCTGTAATGGCCACTTACTGTCCTGCGGTCCAGCAGGCTTTTCCTTATCCAATTTTTTTGTAATTGCAGGAACAAGTTGTTGTTAGCCATTGTGTCCTAAATGGGCATCTATGCCAGAGACAGCGGTGACCTGGCCCAGCACAGGGGAGCCTCTTTCGCTAACAGAGCGAGGGCGGTGAGGTGTGACCTCCCCGTACGCCCCATCTCTGCCCGTCCCATCTGCAGGTGTCAGCGATGGACTCTGCTCCAGGCGCTCCTCCAAACCAGAGCCTCAGTTCAGTCTGGGCCGACCGAGGCCTGGGTGTGTACATAAGTAAGAGTCCAGCACAGCATGTAGGCATGCTGTGTTTAGCAGCAGGCAAGCTCCAGGCTTTCAAGGGAGGCCTACATGGGGCTCCAGCTTGTCTTGGTCCTCAACCATGGACTGCCCTTCCTGTGGTTTGCCGGTCTCGGCCTGACCTAGGTGAGAGCCCACCCTCCCCTAGGCCCACTGATTCCACCCACTGGCCATCCCCCCTCCCAAGGTGCCTCTGACCTCCTGTGTCCACCATATAAATAATAAGGAATCAGCAGATATCACAGTGTTTTTACGCAGCGTTTCTGATCACACCTCTGCTGGCCATGAATCCCAGTTTCTTGCCTTACAGAATGAACAAGGACAAGAAAGGAAGTTAATACACAACTCAAATCCCGTTCCTGTGTAATGACGGGCCAGCCAGACACCTCATGCAATGATGGAGTAGATTGGCACTCTCCGAAATCCACAATGATCCAGACATTTGTCTTCCTGCGCCGTCTGTACGCCTGATCCATGCCCTCGCAGAAGGCTGTGATTGTTACCCATGTGGAAAAGGCTGTGTGCGACTCGGAGCCTTTGGTCGCTTCTCATTTCAGCGTCTGCCTGAGCTGCTCCATGCGTGATGTGGTACCTCGGCCTCAACAGCTCTCCTCAAAGTCATTTTTAGGTGGGTTTTATGGTCCCAAGTAGATCCGGCTGATTAAAGTGCAGGGAGGCGTAGCAAAATTATGGGTGTGGGTGGAGAAGATGGACCTGAGGATATCCGACTCAGATTACTTCCGTACTTTTTATGCTGAAACTTCTAACCATTAACTGTGGGCTTGTTGTCCTCTAAGTCTCTTGATGGACAGACCCATCAGGATGCTGAATCTGAGCCTGAATCCAGCACAGATCCAGTGTGGTTGTGATGTATTGTAGTTAGCCTTGTGACCTGCGGGGGGCAGTGTTGAGTTTATGGTTTATAACAGTTAGAGTGACAGGTGCTGCTGGCTGAATGGAAAACCTGTTTGTCCTGCAGTCGTGGGGAGTCCGGCACTGTCCGGGTGACTCAACTGGGCCTCTGCGTAATCAAAACCTAGTGTTTTCGTCAGTGAGGGTGCCCCCTGCTGGCACCCTTCATGCCTCTCTGGCCTCTTACAGGGCCTTGATGTGTTTCTGCTTTTCATCTAGGTCCATAGCCTGCAGACACTCGCGAGAGTGTGTGTGTGTGTGTGTGTGTGTGTGTGTGTGTGTGTGAATGGAAGCAGGAACATATTTTACTTCCTTATTTTCTCTCGCTGGTTCCCACTGTGCCCCCCTGGCACACACCACTTTAATTACAGCTTGCTTGTGCGTGTTTGTATGTCCCTAAGGGCTCCTGGGGGAGGCAGGGGAGGAGTGGCAGGAGGTAGCAGGGAGGGGGGGTGCAACCTGCAGCTTCCCTAACCCCGACCTCCTCGCAGACGTGCCTGCCGATCGGGGGCAAGCGGGAAGATTCAATTAGCCAGCGAACGGCGGAGACATTCATTTCGTTACTCCGTAATTGAAAATGGAACGCTGCTATGGCTATAATTACCGCCGCCGCAGATCCCAGCACCATCTGCTCGCAGCAGAGCCCGCGCAGCGACGGCGAGGCCCCAGGGGAGTCTGCAGGGGGCGCTGTTTCACACAGGCATCAGGAAATGGGAATGCACTGGGATACGACAGGGATACACTGGGATAGGACGGGGATGCGCTGGGATAGGACGGGGATGCACTGGGATGGGATGGGAATGCAATGGGATAGGACAGGGATGCACTGGGATAGGACGGGGATGCACTGGGATGGGATGGGAATGCACTGGGATAGGACGGGGATGCACTGGGATGGGATGGGAATGCACTGGGATAGGACGGGGATGCACTGGGATAGGATGGGGATGCAATGGGATAGGACAGGGATGCACTGGGATAGGACGGGGATGCACTGGGATAGGACGGGGATGCACTGGGATAGGATGGGGATGAAGAATAATCTGGTGGATTCACACGGGCTTTCAAGGATAAGGGCTTATTGATTTTTTTTTTACTCTATGCTTTCCTATATATTTTGTGGAGATAATTACGGTAAATTGTCTTGTGCAAGGACACTAAAGCAGCTCTCTTTCTCCTAATTGACCTTGCAACCATCTGGACATAAGTTGCTTCTTAACTAGAATGGATTCCGCCAATAGATGTTTTATACAGACACACACCGCTTACTGATTATTCTTAATTGCTGCCTAATTGATGGGATGTTTCATAGCTTCCAGAATTGCTTTTTTTTCTTTTACAGCAAAGTTTGACCTCAGAAGTTCTTGTCTCACAAAATAAAGTTTGAGTGGCACATGGACCTCGCAAAGTAATAAAACAAAAAGCAGGTCCTCTTTAAATATTTATCTCACGAGAAGTTTGAAACTGAAAGAAAATCATACGAAATGAAAACAATATTCTTTCGCCAGATCTCATAAAGTGCTTCTCCTGGTACGCCACTCTGTCTCTCTCTCTCTCTCTGCGGTTCTGATTAATCATCGGACCGCTGGCTTTTCCTCCATCTTCTAGTTTCTGTGTTAAAGGGTGTGGATGAGTTGTAAAAACCTCTCTGCTCTGTCGCTTTCGGTTCCGTTGCCGGCTGTTTAGTGTCTGGAACCCGAGTCTGGCTACTGGGGAGTCCCATACCACACGCCGCACACGCTCAGAAGCCGAGAGCGGGAGGATGCCTCTCTCCCCTGCTCAGATTTCCACTCGGTGACCCTGAGTCTTGGCGGTGGTTGTGTCGTTCTCTCTGTCTTTTATGGCTGTGTTACAGAGATATACACATGTTTCTTCCAGTTTAAGGCATACTTTGATTTGATCATTTGTCCATGGGCTTGCAGACTCCCCTCTGATGGCAATTTAAATTTTCGTGGAACAGTTTTATGGTAGAGGCATCAATAGCTTGACACACTTATGGGTTTCAGGGCCAGCCCCCCCCCCCCCACACACATCACAAAGGCAATTTTTAGGGCATGACCAGGCTGAAGGACACCTTATCTCTCTGTGCAAAGATTGTTTTTAACCACGGCTGTCTCTTCAGTTCTTTAAGGTCACCGTATTGCGGATCCCTGAGGCTATAAACTAGCATCCTCTGGTAGTAGCTTTTCAAAATGTTTAAAATTGAATCTCAACAAATAATGTCCTGAAATGCTGAAGGGTGTCTGCATTTCAGCTACCTGAAGCTGATTTGTTATTTTTGATGACGCCTCTTAATTATCTAGAAGGTACTGCAGTTGGCTACATTGGGCCTAAGTGTCCGTTTCCCGTAATGCATTGTGACGGTTCTGACAGTGACCGTGCGCCAGCTGTCCCTGTAGGGCACACAGACACCAAAGGCATAAACAACAGGAGGGGTATTTGGGAAGGAGGGGTGGGGGTTGTGACCATTAGCATTTAAAAAGGTCCCGTTATTGCATAAGACTCCTAGGAAGAACATTCACATCTGAAGGCTGCATTTGCACCGTGTTCTTCAGTAATTAACGGACCTTCCACGAGGGCGGCTCATTGGACCGTCGGTCACCCAGCGGTCATCATGGTGCCCCCATCCTATCTAGCAGGGGCTCTGTCAGTGGGTGCTGCTCCGGGCTGACAGATAACCCTCGTTTTGCCATTTTCAGACACCCATGTTATCATATGTTCCGGAATGGCAGCTGTCATTGCAGTTTCTTCTGCATGAAGCGTTACGGAGTTACATGCAGGGTAACCGCAGCACTGAAATGATTGAATTTGACTAACAGCACATCGGGGTTAAAAAAGGACTTGTGTAACAGATCAGCCTTGCTGCTGCCTCAAATCACAACCTTATTGATTAAGCTGTTAGTTATCAAAGTGAATGAGTTTTATGGCATGTCCCAACTGGGGCCTTTCCTGAGCTGGGGCTAACAGACCCATCATTGGCTAATGGTGCCCAGGTCCTGTGGGGGAAGGCTCAACACATCTCTGTGTGGCGTGTGAAG